TTTATGTTTTATAATTTTAGTGAATTAAATGAGTCGAAAATGGGACTTTTTAGATGGGAGATGCCTCCGTCGAGGTTAGCGAAGAAAATAGAGATGCTTCTCAGGAGGCTAAAATGCACGCCATGGAAGCAATTTCTCAAGGTAATTTGCATATACCAATCCTTCAGATTTCGTACAATTGATATTGAAATTTTCATCTTGTGTTTTAGAAGATGGATTTTTTTTTTTAATTAGGTAAATTTGAGGAAGCTATTGAGCATCTGACTAAAGCTATTCTGTTGAACCCTACCTCGGCAATTATGTATGGAACTCGAGGTAAGTTTAACTATTTTTTTTTCTTTTCTTTTCTATTAATTTTCTAAGTGATTGATATTTATGTACGGATCGAGAAGTATGATTATTTGGGAATTGAATGATAGGCTAAAGTAATTATATTGATAATTTAATGATATATACCTTTTTATTAAAAACTCCTATATGACTTTATTTCTATCCCTATCGTATATTGCTAATTTCCTAAAATTAGAAATACAAGTTACTATTTTATTCTATAGAATATGACTGTTGTAACTTATTTTTTCTTGAAACATATGATTCAGCTGGATCTCTTTTCTAATGCTGTTATTGCATATTGCATTAGATGTGTTGGGATTGAATTATTGAATTGTAATAAAAAGTAGTGATGTATTGTTGTTGCCTTTAAGTGTTACCTTGCGTTTAAAGCTAGTGTAGGAATTGTATTATCCTCACTACTGTCAATAGGATTTTGTTTTGTCTTTTTCCAAATATAGAATCTCTACGGTCGACTCATTTCTCGTAGGAACATTCTCATGGCCATTTAAATCTATTTTCCAAATATTTGATGATTTTAAAATGTTTTGCTTATAGTTGTGTATTTTGTATCTTATACATGAATTTGCTTGTATTCTTATAGCTAGTGTATTTATCAAGATGAAGAAACCAAATGCTGCTATTCGGGATGCCACTGCAGCACTGGAGGTTGTCCATCTTTTTTTAATTGCTTGCTGTTGAATAATTATCTTTTGCCTTTTCCGTTAAAAAGTATGCGACATTCTTTAATATCATTTCCGCGCTCATGTACGGTAGTGTCTTAGTTTTCTTCATGATAAATGCATATCCTTTGACAAGCAAGGTAGTTAAAATCGGGATTCAAATCGTAATATTACGATTTACTCCCTTATAAGTCGTCAAATCGTAGTGAAATCCCAAATCACTTAAAATCGTTGGAAATCGGTAAAATCGCAATCTTTTTGAGATTTGAACGATTTTAATTTTAACCATTATGTAGGCTGAAATTTTAAGTTTTGGGCCTCAATCTCTGATTATTTGTTTATTACCATAGCCTATTTAGCCCTAAATTGGACGTACCCTAATTTTTCCATCTCTCTATTGGATCTGGGAAGAAGAATAATAAATTTTTCTTTCTCCTGCCAAAATGAGAACAGTTTAGGGCTATGTTTAATTTATGTTAAAACATGTTTTGTTAATGTTGGGATATATTATAGTTATTAGGACATTTCTGTATAATTTATGACTTGTTTATTTGTGTTTGGAGATGTTTTCTAAATACTAATGTGTTGTACACACACACACGCACGCACGCTGGTTTGCTATTAATGTTACAATATATGTAAAATCACGATCCTATGACTCCGACTTTATCACACCTCTCCGAACTCGAAATCCCAATTTTAACTACCTTGTGGACAACATGTCATTCATTTTCCACCGATAATATTTACGATAATATTTATATCATGTCAGTTGGTTAGGCTGTTCTCTCTCCTTTATGTAATGTTGGCACAGTTGTCACATGTCATAGATCTTCTCAAATTTTAAATTCTTGTTGGAAGTCTTTGTCACGCATACTCTGCTGTGATGCATAACATTTATGGACTGTAGAATTCACATAATTTGTTTAAATGGCAGATCAATCCTGATTCCGCCAAAGGGTATAAATCGCGCGGCATAGCACGATCAATGCTTGGACAATGGGGAGAGGCTGCTAAGGATCTTCATTTGGCCTCAAAGCTGGACTATGATGAGGAAATCAGTAGTGTACTTAAGAAGGTTCGTCTTTTCAAATGCTACTTAAGAGTATTATCCAAACTACTAAAAGGTGGAGAAACCTCAATTGGTGGTATTGAAGTATGATGTTTATTGTTTTCATTTATGGGGTATAGGTTGAACCCAATGCACATAAGATTGAGGAGCATCGCAGGAAATATGATAGGCTTCGTAAAGAGAGGGACGATAAGAAGGTTGAGCGTGAGCGACTACGTCGCCGAGCTGCAGCCCAGGTAAACCGAACTTCCTATTATCTTTTATTTTGAGTGTTTTTTTGTCTTTATAGGTGATATACTTCCATCTTGTAATTTTTTGAAGGCTGCATATGAAAAAGCTAAGAAGAAAGAGCAGTCATCATCAAGCAAAAGATCAGGTGGCTTTCCAGGTGGCATGCCTGGTGGCTTTCCAGGTGGCATGCCTGGTGGTTTTCCTGGGATGCCAGGTGGCTTTCCTGGGATGCCCGGTGGCTTTCCTGGGATGCCCGGTGGCATGCCCGGCGGTATGCCGGGTGGTATGCCCGGTGGGATGCCAGGTGGCATGCCCGGTGGAATGCCAGGTGGTATGCCCGGCAATGTTGACTACAGCAAAATACTGAATGTGAGTATTTTTATGTCGATTAAGCATATTTTGTGGTGATTACATCTTGTCATATTGATTTTGGTTATGATGGTCATGACTATTTACGAGAGAAGGTTCATGGCCCCCCGTGTCTTTTTTTTCTTTTTTCGTTCCTTTTTAAATTCTAATTAGACTCAAACCATTTTTTTTTCTCGTTCCTTTTTAAATTCTAATTTAGACTGAAACCATTTTCTTTATATGACTGAGGCAGGATCCTGAATTGATGGCGGCGTTCAAAGATCCTGAAGTTATGGCTGCACTCCAAGATGGTACGCGCTTTCTTGCTCAAATTAGTGTCTCTCCGTCACTGTACTATGTTTAGCAATTTGCTTACCTGATTATGCTTTAACGGTCAACTCTCTTTTTCATGAGTGGGGATGACTTTTGTGTTCTTGAGATGCGTAGTTTGATTTGCATGTCTTGCTACCTCATCTGTGCCTCTGTGGTATACTTGTTACAATGATGTGTTATGGTTAGGTTAGCTTTAATGACTAGTATTTATTTAGTGTGTTCTTCACCATATGTTTGTATGTTCATTTAGGATCCATTTGGATTGAAGAATTTGAAATGTAAATACCTTGAATTTCAAATTCACCACTATAACTCTAAATATAGCTTAAATTGAGAGTAAAAAAAAAAAAAAATAGATTGTAGAATGAATCCATCCAAACAAATTTAATCGATTTCAAATCCTTAGCTCCACGTCCTTGCATCCAAATGCATCTAAATTCAAATCTTATTAGTTTTCACCTTTGCGAAGATGAAGTAAGATCGACTACAAGAATAACAAGTTAGGGAATACGGGGTAAAATATCAAAGTTGAAAAAAAATTGATGAATAAATCTCTCGGTAAGTTAAAGAGATTGGGTCCTCTAAATCTCTTAACTTTAGTGAAAAAAAAATTAATGCAATTTTTCATTCCATGTGTTTCTTATTTGTATGTGTACACATTATCCATAACATTACTTTCGTGAAACGTTCAACATCACATGTTTATATCAATAACACTGTTTGTCTACCTCCTACTGTTATGTAACCATGTGCTTATTTCTATAACAATCTTATTATTTGAAGTTCGTCTATTAGTTGACTGTTGGTTTACCTGCCTAAAAATATGTGGTTGTTTTGCAGTAATGAAGAACCCTGCTAACCTGGCAAAGCATCAAGCCAACCCAAAGGTGGCTCCGATTATTGGGAAAATGATGGGTAAATTCGCCGGACCAAAGTGATAATTGCTGCTGTTTTTTTCCTTTTTTTTTTTTTTTTTTTTTTTTTTTTTTAACCCTTTTTGCGCCAAGAGAGCTTTTTATTGTTTAAAGAGTTGGAAGTGCGGTTACTTGTTTTAAAACTGTGTTTAGTACAGAAGATGTATATTTTCATCTCCTTAACAACATAACATTTGTAGACTGGTTTAGTTCTGATGTTTCCGAGTAAGTTAAACGTGTTCGAATCCTTTTATCGGTTTTTATGTCCTTGATTCTGTGATATTGTTTTACATTGATGCATGGGTTTATTTTCTCCTTAATATGGCTTTTTCCGATGGGCATAACGTGTTACGTCTTGATTATTATAATTTTATCGAACTATTAAGATCTTAGTTGATGTGGAAATGTGTAGGGTGTAGATATCTGTACTGATCATCTGTATTCTGTGAAAGATAACAAAATAATTGAGCATCTTGAAAAAAAATCAATTTTTGTTCACTATAAATAACGCGAAAAAGTCTTCGATGTAAGCTTGTTCACTTTCTGAAAACGTAATCCTTTATCATTTTTATTTTTTGCTACGGAAGAAAAATAATCAATTATCCCATTAATAGGCCTGTAGCAGATAGGGATTTAGAAACTAACATAGCGAAAGGGATCGTACACACTGTTCTGCCAAAAAAACATGGCTCATTATTTGACCAGAGTAAATAAATAGAAAGAGAAAATAAAAGAACTACAAATAATGTAAAAATGATTAATTGTCAATATTTCTGACTTGTGATGCTTATAACTCGGCTGTTAAATTGGTTCATGAGTGCTATCGCAGGGCCCCCGTTTCTGACTTACTAGTTGTTATGTTTGTACTTTGTATTAAAAGATGTAGTTAATCTTTGAGGTTGTTCGTACAAGATTTGATAAAGAACCTCTCTTCCTCTTATGTAGTCATCTTCAGATGTAATTAATCCTCTTAGTTTTTCACTCATAAATTGTTGAGAAATTGTTATTATGGTCTAATTACCAAACACCTTTTTAGGTATTCATAATTACCAAAAACCGAGTGTAGGCTTACCCAGTCAACCTATATAGTTGGTTGTGGGTTCCTTCGTTACCAATTTTTTTTATTACCAAAAACCCCTTATGGCTGATCAAATTAGAAACAAAAAATTGTAATGTCAATAATGCTCTTATGTTAAATAAAATTTAAAACTACACAAAACTATGGGACAAAATTGTACCTCGTCCGTCGTTCCCCAGAAATCCACCCCCCACCCCCCCCACCCCCCACCCCCCACTCATCCCTTCTAGAAATTATAAAAAAGGGGACATATTTTCGACTTTCAAATTTTTGTTCCAGTTGCACTATGCATCCATTCACTAAAAGGGCATTTCGTCCTTTCAGGGACTGTAGCTGCTAATTGAAGAAGAAATTGAAGATTCTCATAATTTTTTGAGGCCACAATAAGCACAGTTCATTTTGGGAGGAAAAAAACCCTATTTTTTTGTTATGAAAGTAGTGAAATGGGTTGTGTTTCGTCTATTAAAAAAGATAAGGATGTTAGGATTTTGGTGGGAATGATGAAATGACTCAAATGCCCTATAAGTGTACGCATAAACGATAATTTTTGTGATTCTGAGCAAAGTGCAGTTGCAACAATATTTTGTGGGTAAGTGCATTTTTCCGTAAAATTATTAAAAACCCTGACCTACGGTCAAATTCTGGAAAAGACTCTCACGTATCCATAATTACTAAAATCCCCAAGCTTTGTTTAAGCTAACAATGCCCCATTATATGATTGTTTTGCAGATTCCGACCTCAAATTTTGTTGCTCTAACGATTTTTTCAATGAAATTTCTACGCGTTTTAGTGACATTTCGACGGCTTTTAAATGATTTTTTCAATGATATATAATGTCACTATTATTATATATTTTATAATTTAGGTGAATTAAAAAATATAAGGCCGGGAAATTAAAGTACGATATTCCGTAGTTTGAAAAATATTTTGAACTAGATATGACTTTATTGACTAATCCACACACCCAAATCCCAGTTTTAATTTGTGAGACCCCATTGGAATTGTGCGAGAATAAAAAAAATACCCTGAACTACTATAACCCTAAATCCTAATTCATTTTCTCCCTCCCACACTCTTCATTCTCGCTTGTCAACTGTTTTATTTTCTCGCTTCTCTCTTCTTCATCTCACCAAACTCTAGGGGCTCTTTTGGTTGGATGGATGGGATAGATAAAATTTTATGGATTATATAATTTAACACTGTTCATGATTATATAGTAACCAAAAAATCAGGTTTGGTTTGTAGGATTTACCTATGAAGGACAACTGCAATGTGACGTTTGGTATGCATGATTCAGACTGATAACACTGGAAATGACAAAATTATCCTTGCCATTATTTGTATAGAACTCATTCTAATGAGTTTCATTTTTTAGAAATCTTGTGTAAAAATTCAATGAGAGGAAACCATGTGTTCTTCAAAATTATTGAAAAATTGGCACTAAATCAATATAATCCTACTACACAATTGTAAATAATTTCGTTGTTTTGCTATTTGCATAAAATAGTTTACTTTAAAAAATAAAGTGAATTTTTTATTTATTTATGAGTATTCTTCCAAAAAAAAAAAAAAAAGACTACAAGTTACTTGTGTTAATTTAAAAAATAAATAAATTTGATCTTAAATTGAAAAATGCAGTTCAGATCACTAAAAAAACGCAGACGAGAAAGAATGCTATTCAGCAATTTTTTTGTTCTTATGCCCATGGTATTTACTTAAAACACACACACGCACACACTTTTTCTTGGCCTCCCTGCAAAATGATTTCTCAAAATCGCTCATATTTTTTTCCGGAAAAATCTCGTATTTTCACTCTTTCTTGAATCAGCAACAATGGTGGCCATACCCCCATCAACTGCAATAACAAACCAACAACAATACAAAGAATTCCTCATAAGCAACAAAAACAACGAATCGAAGAGGTTTTATCTCTTTCGATCTTGTTATCTGACCAAATAAACGAAGGGGTTAAGGGAGCAAAATTAATCTTCAAACTCGAGTGCTCCTTGGTCGGCAAGGAAGTCAAGCGTCTACGCCAAATGCTTCACTTCGCCGCTGGTCTCTCCACGTCCGCCGCAAATCTAGGGCTGACAGTTCTTTGAATGAGGGATTGTTCATATTTATAATTAATATTGTTGTAAATAAATTGTATATATCTGGCCCTTTTGGTAATTTCTCATTCAATATTTTGATTGATTACACAATCCCACCTCAAGAGGTGGGACAAATAATCATCTGATTTCATGATTGTGTACCGGGCCCATAATCTATAACGGGTTCATGTCCTGCATACCAAATACCGGATTAGGGGTGATTAAATTGTCTATCACCCCTTATCAAGCGAACCAAAAGGGGCCTAGATGTACTATTTCCGCCACTAAACAACCTATGGAGCAACAGGAGATCACTGATAGAAGGAGTCGACAAAGAGAGACGGTGAAAGACTTCAAAGGATTATCAGCAGGACACCGATAGAGATCTGGTAATTACCCTCGACCGCGCACCTTCTCACCACAGCCGCCGCCCTCTGCCCAAACCGTTGTCGCCGCTCTTCGCCAAAACCGTTGTCGCCGCTCTTCGCCAAAACCGTTGTCGCCGCAGTCCATCAAAAGTGCCATGCAAATGATGCATACCTAATTCTCCCTCCACCGACTTCCCATGTCGACAATATTAATTGGTAAAATTTATTTTTTCATTTTTTCTCGAATTAATAGTCGAACCAGCAATAGAACTCGTTATGGATTTGAATAATCAGTTCTATTATTCGTTTGTTATGTATACATATGTCGATTTCAATTATCCTGCACTTTGTTGATTTTTGTATTTTCTTTTGTTATTTTTAGGATCCTAGAGCATAATTGTATGCATTGAGACTTTGGGATTGGCCTAATAAGAACCATAATTATATACTTTTTGTATTTCATGTTGTTCGAGTTTGTTTTATTATCTGAGAATGTATTGGTCTTGGTACCATTTTGTTGTTATAGATTTTGACAGTAAAATACTATTATAGTCATGTATAACCTTGTAATCACGCTTGTTATGTTTGCCCACAGTTGTACTCAGAGTCACATTTAGTCATATAATGTGTTTATTGCATATTTCATACCATTTGCCCATTTTTGGCTACTTAGCCCTCTGTATTGGTGAACCATTTACGGTTTATCCCTTTTTTATTTTTTTTATTTTTATTTTTTTTAATGATTTCACATTGTATATTTGCAGCTTTGAGCAACATTAGTAACAATAGCAGTTATGGTTGGGCATGGGTCGGTTTTATCGATCGACCAACTTTCGACCCGCTTTTATTGGCCGATAATTTTGTTTTCAGGCCGGTAATTTGAACCGACCCACATATAAATGGGTCGGTCGGTGATTTTCAGTTTACTCAAAAGTCAGTTGGTTGGGTAGTATCAACCAACCGACTTTTTTTAATAATAAAAAAATATTATAAAAATTTAATTGTAATTCATATTTTCTTAATGGTGAAATAACATTTAAAAGAAGTCAAAACTCAAAAATTAGAAATACCAATTTATAATCCTCTACGTACTATTTATATTTTATAATTCTTATATTTGATATTCTTCATTACATATTTACTCATTTTAGAAGTTTAATAGAAAAAAACTCTTAATTTTAAAGTTAAGATTTTTGCGATATAAGTTTTCTCAAAGTTTTAAATATTTTCTGAAAAATCTTTTAAAAACATCTTACTATTATAAAAAAGAAAAAGAAAAAAAAACCGAATAAAGAAATGGCCGATAATGCATCCAGCTGACTCATTGTTTATCCGATAAATGTTGATTTATGTAATAGGAAGGGTATTTTCGGTACAAAGTGCTGAAAGGTCTAACAAATGATGAATTTTAGTGATGAACTTAGTGCTAATTTATAGTGGTTTGAGCGACCTATTTCTAATGGCTCCAAAATATAATTAATCATTTTCGTTCCTTCCATTCCAAAAGTTATGATAATAAAATTTGTCACTCACAATTTTAAAATTTTGATTTTCAATATTTTCAGATTTTTTTGATCAAAATTAGAATTAGCTAGTCACATCTTAACCGAATTGATGTTTTTACAAAATCTTTAGTTCCGCCCGCAATTTTAACCCACTAATTTAAGAGCTACTAGAGGAATCTATATAAATAAAATAAATAAATAAGGGAGTAAGATGTAATCAAATAAAATAATGGGGTCTTTACAAATAAGCTCATTAATGGGTACTTATTCATAAAGAGATCTAGACAATAAACTCCTTTACAAATAAGTTCACATATGGTCCAAATTTTTGTAAAAACTAAAATCGCCCATCATACTTTAATATGCTCCAATTTCATACATTAATTTAATTTAACCTCAATTTGACCCCAAATTTCACAAATTATTCAATTTTGACCCAAAACATATTTTTATGGACAATTTCGTCCGTCAC